CTGAGCTGGTGAGATATGAACAGCCAAACTGCAGAACTGCAGTCAGCTGAAGTAGCCTGCAGTGCTGCATTTAACCACTGCGCCACCTCGGCTTGACAGGATAGTTTCAAATGCCATAAGGTTTTGCTCACATTGAGAGAGGAGTTCAGTCTGTAGGAAAAGACAAGTACATTTATGAGGACATGTGGAGGGGCCCAAGGAATGATGTTGGAGTGTTCCACAGTGTTATGGACAAGGGACTCAGGAATGCAGACTGTCTGCTGAAGGGAAGAAGGGGCCTTCTGGAGAACCTAAATACAGCCCATCTATGAATCTTGCAACAGCAACGGCAGTTTCTTCTGGAAAGGAACAGACCATTAAAATTATTGCCTTGCTTAGCCTCCAAGAACTGCTGGAGCAGAATCCTGATAGAAGAATGTGCTTAGAAGGAGATGACTAGTGGGATCTAATGCAACACGGGGTCTTAAGCTCCACCAGAAACCCCAACACACATTTTAAACATTTCCCAAAAATTCTTCCAGAGGCACCATTGCTTCCTGCCACATTTTTTGTAATAATCTATAAGGGCACACCCCATCTCTTTGATTCCATATGGTCACGAAAGCTAGGAGGCCGTTCACTCAGGCCCCAGTGAAGAAAGAGGGTCAAATATTGGGTTGCATTTGATAGTAATTCTCCTCTCTCTGGCATGACATAAGCAGTGGGAACAAACAGTGGGAATCCAGAAATGCCACTGAAAAAGCTGCTGAAAAATGCTACTGCCAGATTCCATTAAGATAGGGGTCCCTGGCCAACTAGCTTAAGCAGAATAACCTGAGCAAGTCCAGTTCACATCTGAATCGGGGCAAAATGTTCTGGCATAGGGAACTCCTGGGGGAATTCTGGGGTGCGGCTTTCCAGCACTTGGACCACACACTGCCAAGCATCTCATGACCGAACCAGGTGCTGGTTTACTTGGATCTGAATGGAGGAAGAAGAGGTCCAGCAAGTTGGTTTCATCCAGTTCAAGATCACGTTGCAATGGAAGCTTCCCATCCAACACCAAAGGCTCACAAGTGGAGTTAGCCAAAATGTTGTCAGACTGTTTATTTTTCCATGTTCTTCCCAGATTGAGCTGGAAAATAAAAGAGATAGTAAGTTCAATAGTTCTCATTCCAAGCCGACTTTGGAGCTGCTTTGTTACAGATAAAATGTGAAGTACTCTTTGGCAGCAAGTCAAAATAGATTCATTAAACTGTTGAATGTCAAAATGTATATTGCCCTTGACTTTAACAGGTGGATTTTCCACTGTGAAAAATTGGGCAATTAACTAACATTCCACCATATTTGAGGAGAGTTCCAAAGTCAGTTGTCCAGATAATTTGCTGGTGAAAATCATACAACAGGGATACATAATTTTTATATGTGAAGGATGATCTCTTTTTTCCCCAGAAAAGGAAATTCACCCAAGAAAGCTGTAGAAGATGGATCTTGACAGACTTGAACATTGGGCCTAACTAACAAAATGAAATTCAATGTAGAGAAAAGTAAAGTCTTACACTTAGGCAAGAAAAACCAAAAGGACACATATAGACTGGGTGAAACCAGGCTCAAAAACAGTAACTGTGAGATGAGAGGGATCTTGTAGTCTTAATGGACAACCAATTAAATATGACCCAACAATGTGCAGCGGCAACCAAAAAAGCCAATGCAATCCTAAATTGCATTAACAGAGGGATACAATCAAGATCAAGTGAGGTATTAATACCATTCTATAAAGCCTTAGACCACACCTAGAATGCTGCATCCAGTTTTGGTCACCTCACCACAATATTAAAAAAGAAGATGTTGAGACTCTAGAAAAAGTGCAGAGAAGCGCAACCAAGATGATTAGGGAACTGGAGACTAAAACATATGAAGAACAGTTACAGGAATTGGGCATCGCTAGTGTAGTGAAGAGAAGGACCAGGGGTGACATGATAGCAGTGTTCCAATATTTGAGGGACTGCCACAGAGAGGAGGGGGTCAAGCTATTTTCCAAAGCACCTGAAGGCCACAAAAGGAATAATGGATGGAAACTGACCAAGGAGAGATTCAACCTAGCAATAAGGAGAAATTTTCTGACAATGAGAACAATCAACCAGTGGAACAGCTTGCCTTTGGAAGTTGTGGAAGCTTTATCACTGGAGGCTTTCAAGAAGAGATTGGACTGCCATTTGTCAGAAATGGTGTAGAGTCTTCTGCTTGGGTGAGGGGTTCGACTAGAAGATCTACAAGGTTCCTTTCAAATCTGTTAAGATGGCCAGGAAGAGTAGACTGGTCCCCATGTTTCTATTATTTTGAGGGAATGGATGGGGATCATGGGACTTAAGGATTTTGTGTCTTTTTCTTCCCCAACCTGGGAAAACTCAACCCAATGGCAGATAGATCTGGATAGTTTATGAATTGAATGGAACCTTTAAACACCAGACCTTAAGCCCACCAATGAATGGATAGAAGAATGGATAGCCTCTCATACAGTTCTAGAAAGGGCTTGATGTGTTACTGAAAACTACTAGTACATTTTCTGATCATTTAGAACTCTGAATTTCACTATCTTCACAATGAGGCTGCATGGAGTCCACAGAACATTGCGGCTAAAACTACTATTTTTCCAAATATTACATTATAAGATAGTATTAAAAATAATTTTGCAATCTGGGCAAGGAAGAGCAAGTAGTAGTTTACAATACCTTTATGAACAAACGTGAGAGAACTGCTAAATATTCAAAAGCGAGACTGGCCCTTTTGGGGGCCATCGTCAAGGAATTCATGGCCCAGGCCATTCCCACACTTGCCACATGAGACCTGCAAGGAAATTAGAGGGAATTAAGAATATAAACTCTGCTGCTTCTATACCCTTTTCCCACAATCAACTGAAAAGCAGAATTATAGCCCATAACAGAGTAATCCAGGTCCAATCACATCATTATTGTACAATGTTTGTTCAGAAGAAAATGCTATTTCCTCTGCAGCAATCTCTTATGACTTTCTTCTTCTAACTGCTTCCTTACTATTAATTCTCTTATTTTGCCTCCTTTCTGGAAGGCACTTTGATTATTTATAATCTTTAAGTAGTGATCAATACATTCAAGAAGCTTCTAATTGAAAATATGGTATCTACAAAATACCTCAAAAGTACTATAATGTTTTTGAAACATAGTTACAAAATTTTATAAGGCTTTAAAAACCTGGCTATGTGTCCGAGCCTGACCCCAGAATGTGTTAAGGGTCCCATTTCTTGGCTTCACAGACATTTAGTCTGATATTGCAATTTTCTCAACTGCTGTATATATTTATTTTGTACCGTTTTTGTTTTAGAATTAAAACAATTTGAATCACTTGGTTGAGATAGGCATCTATAGAAAAGAAGCAAATTCAGATTTTGAGGAAAACCTGTAGACCTGATCTGAAAAAAAGAAAGACGTAATCCACTAGCATCAATACTGGCTATAACAAGTAAGTAAAAACAGGAGAATAATTCTATTTCATGCCATATTGAAGGAAGATACCCTGTCAAAGAAGTTGCTTGCATTCTGAATAAACAGATTCTCTTCAAAGCCAAACCTTGGAACAATCCCTACAATTTCAAATGCAACTCTGGGCACCACCAGATTTACAGCGAGTTTCTGCTGCATTTGGGATACGAACTCTGCCCTCGTCAAGTTTTGAGTCCATTGCAGCACAACCAAAGTCCTCACCTTGAAAGCTCCTGGGCGCTCCAAGTACTTGGAGATGCTGTCACTGTGAATGGGATGGGTAAAGGCTGGCCAAGGGGATGAATGAAGGAATTTGGACTGGCTGGAGAATAATTCATAGCCACATTTGGAACAAACGTATATACCTGTGAGCAAAGATGGAGATGGGGAGAAAGAAGAATATATATGACATGGAGGAATTAAATAGGCACACATTCACAGGAAGGCTGGATTGCAGAGGGAAGTAGGTCTCATTTTACTTATCTCAAATATCAGCCAGAAATTACTTGTAACCATCACAGGTTTTCTAGAAAGTTGCCATTTTTCCTCTTCTGTACACATTTCTATAGGCAGTTATTGACTTACGACTGGTCACTTAGCAACTGTTTGAAGTTATCCTGGATCTCCGCATTATGTAAGACCCAGTTCTAAATTCCAATGCCCCCTCCCCACAGTCACATGACTTCATTTTGGGTGATTGGCAACTGGCCCATATGTCCATTTGCAGCATACCACAGTCATGTGACTGCCATTTATGATGATTTACCTGGAAACAGATGTTTATTTTCAGTTTCTAGCAAAAACTGGAAAAATAGGTTTGCTTAATGACCACATTGTTCATGTAACAATGAGTGCACATCTGCTTTACAACTTCTACAAAAAAGATTGTTAAACTTTAAAAGGGATTATAAAAACCTAATGTAGCCCATTACCAGAGAAGGAAAATAAGAGACCCAGACAAACCCAACATGGTTGCTTAAAGAACTCTCTGACAAATTGAGAGGAAAAAGGACAAGTATAAAACATTGAAAGAGAGACAAATAACTAAAACAGAATACCAGCAAATAGCCCAAATCTGAAAATACAAAGTCAGGAAGGCAAAGGCTCAGAATGGTAAACTAAGACTTGCAACAAATGCCAAAAATAATAATAAAAAAGTTTCTTTCAACATGCAAAAAGCAAGAAAAAAGTTAAGGAAACAATCAATCCACTCATGCAGGGGTCTCCAACCCCCGGTCTATGACAGACTTGAACACTTGGCCTTATCCAACAAAATGTAATTCAGTGGTGAGAAAAGTAAGATCTTACACTTAGATGAGAAAAAACAAATGCACAGATATAGAATAGCTGGTATTTGGCTCAACTAATAGGTGTCCTAATAGAAAATCACTTAAATATGAGCCAGCAGTATGCTGTAGATCAGGGATGTGCACTCACTAGAGGCAGGGGAGGCGGGGCCTCACCAGTCTC